CCCTTGCTCCGCGGCCGAATCTTGCCTGACTCACGGCTCGGTTGCGCCGCGTGGGACGCCACGACAGGTACGCAAGGACATTTGGCGTGGTTATCACTGTCTCGATTACACAACTAACGTATAGTATAATAGAGAGTCAGTGGTTGGTGATTGACAGTGACACACTAGCATACGTTTTTATTTCACGCCCCGCCACCTCTGCGCGTAGTTGTGCAACTTTAATTCAGAATCATCTGTAGGGATCCCGAGTATGCTAGGGAGGCAAATTAGCCCCGACGTCCCACGTTCACAACGCAGCTAAGAATTGCAGGGGAGCAATTAATACTGATAAATTCCACATCTGATTAGACATACTGTACACGCGAGCATGTTTAATCAACTAATATCGGGCTAATTATCATGTACGTTAGATGTTGAAATTACAGCAAGAACCTCATCACGATCAGGAAAATTTACAGGTCTTCTGATGACGCCTGAGAATTTTTAATACAAAAACGAAAACTAACAACATTCTTAACTAGCAAGAGGTACTTATGACTTATTATTACAAATAAAAATCAATATTAAACATTTTACCTAGTTCCCCCCGTGTTCCGTAAAATCGACGTATAACTACAACAGATATATCCTAGATACTCTATCAATAAGCAGTTTCTGTCATCGTTGTTCAGCAGCAACCATTGTTAATACTTTGCATGACATAACCCAGTTCCTCTTCGCACCTTGCCTTCGAATATATCAAACTAAAGCCTTTATACGTGCGTGATAACCGACCTTTGTCGTGATTTGCCGATTTACATTCAGGATCTGTCTAGATCTATTCCAAATGCACTGGCGGATAGTTATCACATCATCGAATATAGAAAAAAATCCTCACAACCGTCAAAGTTTCTCGACACTTTATTACTAACTTTCGAAGCGATTTTTATATTCATGAAGTTCAACCTATCGCGGATGCTACTGAAATAGTCCCTTAACATCGTTGATCAGAGACCCCCCCCCCCCATTTCAACGTGACAATACTATTACGACATTTTGACTCATTACAGTCAACTGTTTACCATTACGTTCGCTAAAACAAGAGACACGTGTACAGTCCGGGAAAGGGGCTGCTACTGCGGATCTCGCTGTCGAGCATGTGAGTATCGCGTTCGAGTTCCTGCCATTGCTCGTCATAACTCCGCTCGCCTCGAGACGCTGCCCACAGGACGGCGCTCCAGTGCCCAGCATTCTCTCTACGTTGTCCCTTTGCCGCGTCATCAGCCTCGCATGGCCACAGCGCCCTCTATGTCATCCGTTGTGTTATTTTTGCTGCGCCCGCCCGCTCGTCGCTTGGATTTTTGTATTTGTTTGTGAGTGCCACTTGTCGCGCTGACAGAGGCCCTCTGTCGGGCGACCGCTACGTGCTGCAACCGTTCCGCCCGCTCGCCGGCTACCGCTCCGAGGAATGCACCGTGCGAGTGCCGTTGCGCTTCGGTCAATTGACCGATCCGCGGTCTGTTAGCGGCGACTGGCGATTGTTGCCTGCGTCCGAGCATTGGAGATAAGAGCCCATCATGGACGTCCATGGACGGGGGGCGCCTGCGACGCGGGGGGCCCCTCTGACACGATCGGCCGGAACTAGATGTCGTCGCCTGCGAAAGGTGTATCGATGTTACGGTGACGAGTTTTAAAACGCGATCTACCATTAAATTCAACATAGTGGAAGCAAGAAGAGAAGCAAAAACTTTGCCTGGTCGAGGGAGTGTATGACTATATGTAATATCACACTTAATTTAACAACGATATCTTTAAAATTACTTTGTTCACCCCGTTGAGATATCTGGGCCTGAACTATTCAATTGTATGCAAATGATTAACTTATGTAATGCTAAGTAATTTATCTTGGCATCAAATAAACCTGATTCGCGAGAGCACAACTGACAATTTTTTCCTAAATTACAATGATAAAGCTTGTTATTAGGTAGGCCACTGATATGCGACACACACATACTACATGCACGAACTGTGCAACATGTGCAGACAGCAGTATTTCAGCACTGAATACACAACTACAATATTAACGAATACACCCAGACGTTTTAACCGCACTCCAATCGAAGCATTTAGCTATATCTGTCCCATCTAATATTGAAAACCTGAGTTAAAAGAATATAACAGACAGCGAAATTTCGAATAACGACGAACGCCTCCACGAAAAAACAGCCCGCACTCTTCCGCAAAGACACTATTCGCGTGCGTCTCAGGTTGACCCGGAGAAATCGATGCACCCTCCGCACTGCAGAGCGCACTCAAACTGACATCCCCCTGCGCCCCACGAAACGACAAGTGCCACGCCGAAACAATTCTGTCTCAACCAAACTGAAACCTGCAAAAAACTACAGTCTGCCACAAAAAAAAAATTAAATTTTTTTTTTTTAATTAAAAACCAGCGCGACGGGCAGCAGCCGAGACGACGCCTCATTCCGTGAGCACAGTCAGAAAAAACCGAGAAAGAGAACAAAAACCTCGACACACACTTTCGCCGCGCTCGCTTACCCGCTGATGAGCACTAATGCTTGTATCATCTTCCCGCGTGCGTCCGAATCCGCATAATTAGGCCCGCGCAGCATCCGCTCATCCTTCCTTCAAGTCGACGCCGCGCGGGTTTGCCGCGCGACCGCGCGCGGCGGGCGAGGCGCCTCCGATCGCCAGCACGATACTGAAAGCGCGTTCATCGTCACAGCTGTCTGGCTCGGAACAACGACTACTAAACTGCGAAAAACCAGGTTATAGAGTCACGCAGCTAGGTAAACTCTCAGAGTAGGGAAGGTTGTGTGAGAGGGGAAGGGGGTTATGTGCAAGAAGGGAAAGGTTTGTGGTGAGGGGATAATGTTGAAGAGGGGGAGGGATATGTGCAGAGGGGAAGGTGTGTGTGGAGGGGGATATGTGCAGAGGGGAAGGTGTGTGGGGGAAAGATGGGGGACATGTGATGGAAAGTACAAGGGGAAGTTGTGGAGTAAATGTGTGGAGGACATCAGACTATCATGATTAACTTATCATGTTAAGAAATCGTCAACAAATTACATTCGATCACATTTTTTTTATCTCATTTCACTCGACTAAGAAACCAATCACATTCTTATTCAATTTCATTCACACAGACAGATATGCACTACACAGTACACATAGTCAGGTAACATGACAAAGACAGGAAATCAAGAATTATAATCATGATAATGACGGTATGGTTATTTTTTTTTAAGTTTCTTTTTTTTACTTCATTTCCTTCATCTTTCAACTTTCTTTTTACATCGACTGAGCAAGTTCAGAACTTCAGAGCGTGTTTTTAGTTACTTTGAGTATGTTAAAAAAACTTGTACTGGAATCTCTAGGAATGCCGGGAGCTTCTGGGCAAGGTTTTACTTTCGTTTTCCTCCTCCCCAGTCCACGGTACCCCCATGCATAGATCAATGCTGCCGCACATCCGCAAAGTTACAATTAAGTGCCTAGAATCTAGAATATACTTCTAGAATATTGCTTCTAGATATCTAACTGAATAAAAATAGTCCACTTTCTACGTTAAGAAAAGTGACGAATTCAGTTTTACAGCTTTGATTACGTGCATGTCAGGTGTCACTGGTCGTGCCCTCACTCCCCACGATAACCCCTGCGATATAAAAACTTATTGTTATGTGGTCATAAAAACTCTGGGCTGCCGGCGATGTAGCAATCGATTTCTTAGACTGTCGCGAGTTTTTGTACGTGTGGCGAATCATGCGTTGATGCGTTGCGTGTGCGGCGATTATCTAGTCGCCCCGCCGGACCAGCTGACACGAGCAAGCAGTCGCCCGGTCAATTTTCTAATCGCCACTGGCGACTGGGCGACCGCTAGTTTCTCACGCTGCCCCCCCCCCCCTCCACACACACATTCCCCTACTCTGCAGATGTTTACCCCTAGTGCGCTGACTCTATAAACCTGCGTTTCTTCGCAGTTTGTGTCGTTGTTCCGAGCCAGACAGCTGACGCTGAACGCGCTTCACGTTGTGCTGCGATCGGAGGCGCCTCGCCCCGCTGCGGTCGCCGCGGCAACCCGCGCCGGCGTCGACTTCGAGAAGGTTGAGCGGATGCTGCGGGGCGTGCGGATCTCGGACGACGCGCGGAACATGATGACGAGCATCAGTGCTCATCAGCGGGTGAGCGAGCGCGGCGAAAGAGTGTGTCGAGTTTTTGTTCTCCTTCTCGGTTTTTCTGACGTGCTCACGGAACGAGGCGTCTCCTCGGCTGCTGCCACGTCGCGCTGGTTTCCGTGTTTTTAATTTAATTAAAAATTTTTTTAAATATTTTTTTGTGGCAGACTTTGTAGTTTTTTGCAGTTTCAGTTTTGGTTGAGACAGACTTTGTTTGGCGTGAAGCCACTTGTCGTTGCGTGGGCGCAGGGGGATGTCAGTTTCACGTCGCGTCGCGTGCGGGGGTGCATCGATTTCTCGGTCACCTGAGACGCACCGCGAAATAGATTCTCGGGGAAAGGTGCGGCTGTTTTTCGTGGAGGCGTGTTCACGTTATTACAGAGAATTTCGTGTCGTTATATTCATTTTCAACTCAGTTTTCAAATATTAGAATGGCAGATATAGCTAACATGTCCAATTGGAGTGCGGTTAAACGTCTGTGTATTCGTATATTGTAGTCGTGTATTCAGTGCTGAATACTGCTGGTCTCTGTTGCACAGTTCGTGCTGTAGGGTGTAGTGTGTCGCATATCAGTGAGTACCTAAAACTCAACAGTTTATCATGAATTAGGAAAAAATTGTCAGCTTGTGCTCACGAATCAGGTAATGTGCAGCCAAAGCTAAATTACTTAGATTACATAATTAATCATTTGCATACATTAGAATGTTCAGCCCCACATATCTCAACGGGGTGACAAATGTATTTTAAAGATATCGTTGTTAAAATAAGTGTGTATACATATAGTCATACACATCCCTCGGCAAGGCAAAGTTATTGTTCTCATTCTGCTTCCACTATGTTGAATATAACGGGTAGATCGCGGTAAAACATCAACGTAAACATCTACAACCTTTCGCAGGCGACGACATCTAGTCCGGCCGTGTCAGAGGGGCCCCCCGCGTCGCAGGGCCCCCCCGCGTCCATGGCGTCCATGATGGCTCTTCTCTCCATGCTCGGAACGCGGCAACATCAACCGTCGCCGCTAACAGACGCATCGTCATTGACCGAAAGCGCCGACGGCACTCGCCAGGTGGCAGCACCTACGGGAGTGGTAGCCGGCGAGCGGGCGGAACTGTCGCAGCACGTCAGCGGTCGCCCCGCAGAGGCGCCCTCTGTCGGCGACGGTGGCGCGGACGACGCGGCGGGACGCGGTGACATAGAGGGCGCTGTGGCATGCAAGCGCTGCGACGCGGCGCGGACGACGGAGAGCATGCTGGGAGCACTGGAGCGCCGTCTGGTGGCGAGGTTCGAGCAGCGATTCGACGACATAGACAGGAACCTCGAGCGGATACTCACACTGCTCGACAAGCGAGCATCCGACACGTAGCGCCCCCTTCTCCCCGGGAACTGTACACGTGTTCCGTTGTTTTAGGAACGTAATGGTAAACAGTCATGACTGTCATGAGTCTAAAATGTCGTAATATTTGTACGTTGAAATGGGGGGGAGGGGGGTCTCTGATAACGATTTAGGGGACTATTTCCAGTAGCATCGCGAATAGTTGACACATCATGAATATAAAAATCTGTCGAAGTTATAAAAAGTGTCGAGAAACTTTCGACGGGTTGTGACGGATTTTTATATTCATGATGTGATAACTATTCCGCGATGTTACTGAAAATAGACCCCTGAATCGTAAATCGGCAAATCACGACACAAGTCGGGTTTCACGCACGTATAAAGGCTTTGTTTCGTATTCCGAAGAGCAAGGTGCGAGAGAGAGCACCATGCGGTTTATGTATGCACAAGTATAACAATGTTGCGTGAACCACCGATCACAGAAAACTGCTGATTGTAGAGTATCTAGGATATATCTGTTGTATATACGTCGATTTTAAGGAACACGAAAATACGGTAAAATGTTTAAATTGATTTTTTTTGTAATAAAATAAGATCATGAGTACCTCTTGCTGATAAGAATGTTTTGTATTCTCGTTTCTTGATCTAAATTCAGACGTAATCAGAAGACCTGTAACTTTTCTGAATGGTGGATGAAGTTCTGTGTAACTTTCAACATCTAACGTCATGATATAGCCCGATATTAGTTGATTAAAACATGCGCGCGTGTACAGATGTCTAATCAGATCTGATTATCAACAGTATTAATCTGCTCCCCTGTGTTCCCCTGCTCCATGTGTTCCTGTGTTCTGCTGTGTTCTGCTGTGTTCCAGTGTTCTGTGTTCTGCTCCTGTGTTCCCTGTGCTCCCCTGCATTCTAGTAGCGTTGTGCACGTGGTGGTTAATTTGCCTCCTAGACTAATACTCGGGACTCCCTAAGGATGATTATGAATTAAAGTTGCACAATACGCCCACGAGGTGGCGGGAGCGTGCAATAAAAATGTATGCTAGTGTGTCCTGTCCATCACCACCACTGATCTCTATTATACTAACGTATAGTTAGTGTAATAGAGATCAGTGATCACCACGCTCAAATGTCCCTGACGTCCACACTGTACGTGGCTCCCCACGCGGCCGCAACCGACGCCGTGACGTCAGGCGATCGCGCGAGAAGTTGGAAGAAATGCTTAACCTAATTAATCCCGCTAATGAGCCAGGCTCTGCATGACTGACGGATAAGCGTCTTATGTGCGTGCCCCTCATCATTAACCCTGTCATAACACATTTACGTTTCCGCTGTGCGTGTGTTACGACGGCCGTGCAGGTGTGCCTAATAACCACCGCACCATACCTCCTCCTATATCTTCTATATCTCATTCCCCGTCCCTCTGACTTGACTTTCGTCATCACTTTGGCGTTCAAGAAAACCACTTGATGGTTTCATAGTCATACGTATCACGTGATGACAATGATAGATTCACTCTTCAATGATATATCCAATGTTGTCTTACATGATATCTTCAATGATATCTCCAATGTTGTCTTCAAATTCAATGATATCTGCAATGATATCTCCAATCATATCATCAATGATATCTGCAATGATATACTCCCAACAGATGTTTGTCTCATCCCTACTGGGAGTAAATTACGAATAGAAATCGATAGAAAGTCACGTTGAGTGGGATCATCGAACAGACCGGAGCTACGAGGTTGTGATTCGACTCGTATATGTAGTACCGTGGGAACGCTAAGAGAGAGAGAGAGAGAGATCATACAATCGTTCAGGGACGGCCGGCGATGGCCCCACCAGACATACCTGCATACTTAAGAGCGGGACATATAAATTAACATTGACAATAAGCAGTCTAAAATGGTACGGACGCATTCACTTTCCCCAAGAACGCGGCTAAGATTGTCGACCAGCCATTAAGGGGTACCTTAATGACAGTACCTTAATGACGGTACTGGCGACCGGTCAGTGAAATTTTTTTCCCCACTTGAGTTCCGGACCACAGCCAATCAGCGCGCTCCATTCACTCAACTTCCTCGAAGCAACAAAA